GTCAGGAAATTCCTCCTCAGTTCTAAGTTGCTTCTCTCCTTGATTAGTTCCCACCCGTTGCTTCTTGTTCTACACTCAGGTATTTTGGAGAATAGCTTGATTTCCTCTTCTTTGGGGCAGCCCCTGAGATATTGGAAGGCTGCTATCATGTCTCCCCTAGTCCTTCTTTTCATCAAACTAGACATACCCAGTTCCTGCAACCGTTCTTCCTAGTATGGCTTAAATTCAGGGGCCACTCAGCGGGACAGAAGAAAAGAGATCCTGGCTTTCTCCAGTAGGACATCACCTCCAGGGCTGGAAGAGAACTCTCCTCGCTCCTCTAGCCCTCCCACCTTCTCTCAATCCACCCAGTTCCTGCTAAAGAAGGAGCCACAAAGCCCCCATCTACCTCGGTGTCTTTGCCCTGCTTTCCCGCTACCTAGGGTCCAGAAGCAGAAGCGTCTTCCTTACCCCTATCAAGATTTTCACCCACAGAACCGGGGCCCTCGGTAACGAACCGCTGGTAGAAGTCGTCGATCTCCTTGCTGTAATTTCCAATCTGCTCCCTTGTGATCTAGAGGGGAGGGGGGCATCATAATAATCCCAGTTAGAAGGCCATTCCGGCTTCCGAACGCTCTTCTCCTTCATTCCGGAATGCGATTCACCCCAATACCTCCGTAAAAGTCTTTTTGATGCTGCCCAGGTTGTGATCGACTCCGGACGCCTCAGTATAAAGAGTTTCCCACATCAGCTTTATCTTATCTACCAAGCTTTTTTCTTCTTCTGATATCTGGAGAGGAGGAACGAGAAGATTTCCTTTCTTTTTTTTGTATATGTTTTATTTGCAGGGTTTTTTTTTTTTTAACAACCAAATTTTTTTTGTGGATAGCGTAACGACCTGGTTAACGCATTTTCCACACAGTGCTCACGGTAATAATACCATTGCATATACAGAATTTATATCTCCCAGCTTCTAAGCTTAATGTGCTCATTGTACTTGTAATATATTCTTTTATGTACTTATTAACTCCTAACATTTTAATATTATGGACGTCACTCAGTGTTCCACCACATTTTCGATCTCAGCTTCCTATAAACACCAATAAAACCAGTTATCAATAAGATCTAATCAGTCCCAAGATGATATCTCCAAGTCCCCTGGATTTATAGTCCTTAAAAGCCATATTTTCCGTTATATTTTCCCATCCTTTTAATCATAATAATCCCTTTAGATTATACCTAGTCCTGGTTTTCCATCTCCTAAATTTTAATATATCTAGTATATTTATAAGAAATTCTATTATATATCTGTATATGTGCTACTTGTCAGGTCTTCAAACCATCTTTTATTTTTGGACCTCAGGCCTGCCACGCTTTCTATTATTCTATTATGCATTTTCTATTGTGGGAAAATGGGAGCGGGGATTGTATGGAGTTGGATGATATGTAGCCATAACGACATTCTTTCTAGAAAGGCAAGGCTATCCTTTGTCTCTGCACCTGAGAGGATGGGTGGAAGCTGCCAGCATGGCAGTGGGAGATTGGACCATATGATGGACTTATGGGTGTGGGGGCTGGATCTTGACCCTTTCAACTGGGCGGGGAAACCTGGAAGCTTTCAGATATGGACTCTTTTAATAAATTGGATTTTTGAGGAAACTTTTGCCTTGGACTCTTGATTTACTTTTGGATGCTATTTGGAACCCTGACATTAACCCAAATCTGACACTACTATTTTCCCAATTTAAACTTTCTACTTATTTCTATTGGCTTTCAATGTTGTTACTATATTGCAAAATATATCTCTATCCATCATCTCTCAGCCTTTTTTAGAATTTCACTGTTTATCGATTGAGAAGGTTTCCTTAGAAGGCTNTCGAGGCGTTCCAGAGTTATGCTGGAACACACACACAAACACACACAGAGCCATTTTTATAGATGGAAGGATGGATGGAATAAACAAACTCCCAAACGTAACACACACACACACACAGACACACACACACACACGGAGCCCTGGATAAGGTATTAAGAACCTAATTGTAGAGTTTATCTCCACCTTGACCCATAGGCCCAGGGGAATAGCTCAGAAATGTTGGGTACGAGATGGGCAGCAAAGACATTTCAGAGAGAGAGAGAGAGGGAGGGAGGGAGGGAGGGAGGGAGGGAGACTTAGTTACTTGCCCTTTTGAAGACTCTGTCTATGTTGTCAAATTTTTTGGCTTCCTCCGGCAGCTGGGATCTGATGTCTCCGCCGATGAAGATGCTTTCCAGATACATCCATTTTCGCTGAACGATCATCCAGATCTAGACAGATGAAACACAACATTGGCCAAGAGCAGGGAGGCCGGTGAAATGTAACCTGTCCTCCAAGAGGGACGCCTGTCCACCTGGAGCGGCAGCCTCCCTACCTCAATCACTTCGCCGATCAAAGAGAGGGTTTTCTCCCAGTTGTGGACCGTGGCCAAAAAAGGCGCCACAAATCTGCTTCCAGAGATACTTTGAAGGTTGACGGCGTTGTCATCCAGGATCTGAATGATCTCATCGACGGCTCCCAAAATGAAGCCCCGTTCCTGAGTCCCTTTGAAGTACCGCTGGACGGTAAATTTCATGTTCTCCCAAGTTTCAATGATTTCCTTCACTCCCTAGGAGAAAGAACAAGGACGTTCTAAGAACTTGCCTTGTTAGCTACTACGGTAAAGGTTCCCCTCGCACATAGATGCTAGCCGTTCCCGACTCTAGGGGGCGGTGCTTATCTCCATTTCAAAGCCGAAGAGCCAGCGCTGTCCGAAGACGTCTCCGTGGTCATGTGACTCAACGCCGAAGGTTCACGGAACACGGTTACCTTCCCGTCAAAGGTGGTTCCTATTTCTCTACTTGCATTTTTTACGTGCTTTCGAACTGCTCGGTTGGCAGAAGCTGGGACAAGTCACGGGAGCTCACTCCGTTACGCGGCGCTAGGGATTTGAACCGCCGACCTTTCTGATCGACGAGCTCAGCCTCTTAGCCACTGAGCCACCTTGGTTGCGCCCTTGGTTGCTACTAGAGAGGACGGAAACACAGAGAGGTGTGTGGGAGAAGACCATCTGACCTTCTCGATGCTCAGCTCTTTGAC